ATGACACAAACCTGAATGTCCTGCTTCAAGGGCGAGAGGTATAATTTACCTCCAAGAACCAGCGTGAGTTGATGGTGGCTGGGGACATGATTAGTGATGTCTCCTGGCTCAAACCTTTGGGAACCTACTTGATATCCATAGACTCATTCTGCTGCTCATCGTTGGGTGCCCTTCAGTAATGACTGTTAGTTGACGCAGTATCTATTACTGGGCACCTCCATACCAGTAGGTGGCATCCCCTCTATCAGAATGGTATCTTCTCCCGTGCACAGTTCGATACTCTAGGATACTCGAGGTAATCGAGGTTGTCGAACTGGTAGGCTCGGATCCGAATGCAGAGTCATCGTCGGCGGCATTATCACCAGCCTCCAGTGGAGCCTCGTTTCCAGGTGGTGAGGAGCCAGGCTCTGTGGGAGACTTGCTCCCCGTGCGGTGGGCTGTCTCATCTGCCATCTTCAAAGGTAGGAACTGATTCGTCCGAGGAGTGGTACTCGAGTTATGAACGCCTTCCTGTTCAACGCAAACAATCACAACGCATGAGAAATGGGCCAAGTGAGGGGGAGGACATGTTGAGTTGTTGGTAGCAAACCAACACGACGTTGCATGGCCCAGGGTGTTGGCCAATCAAATGGTACCATTGCTTCTTGGTGACTAAGATGGAGATCCCAAAGAATTAGCCTCAAGGTGAAGAGTGTTGGGGAATTGAAAATGAATCGTTTGGTGTTAAGTATTGCAGAGTGATTGTATATTGGCGTGGTGACCGATATATCTCAACTTTGTTGATAGCCGCCCACTAGCTCTGACATTGGCCAGCACTAAGGCATGTGGCTTACTGCTTATTGCCCATATGGTCAGAGACACAGAGGACGTTGCACGTGGAAAGGGCAAAGCATATGCACAGATTGACAGGACTCTAATCCAATGGAGACTTGGAAATTGGCATGTGTCGATGCCAAGAGACCCCAGAAAGATTCCCGGCCTGGCTTGACCGTTGTCAAAGTGGTCCGTGAAACGAAGCTTCTCGGCTACCTGCAACGTAAATGACAAGCTTTTCTAAGCCCATGGAATATGAATGCATCGTGCATGATTCGCCGTTACATGAGAAAAGTGTGAGTAGCAGCACATCATGTTGGACGATATTGCCACACCAAATCCTTCTGTCACCTGCGGCACAGCTGTCATTTCCCATAAAAAACCTCATCCTCCCATAACCAATTCCACATGCATCTGCTCCAAGTGCAAGTCAAGTGTTTGCCGCGGCCCAGAATGCCGTCACCCCTGTCGACCTTCCCCGTAATTGGCGATCCTCCCCGCATCCATTCAAGATTTCCCAGCCTCCACGAGCAAAGGAACCACTGAGTGCCGGGAAGTGCCCGAGGGGTTTCCCCATGGGGAGAGCGAGTCATCTAATCTGGATGTTGTGATCTCGGCGCAGAGTTCCTGATTGAGGATAGATGCGGGGAGAGGGTTGTGATTACACGAGGCCACCAACTCAGCTTTCGGAGTTGAAAGGCTGACGCTTGGCACGTGAAGGGCGAGAAAGACGGTATAAGTAGATGGGAATAGCAGAGGGAAAATGAATCAGGCTAAGCTTTCAGAATCAGTACCAGATCTCTCGTTAAACTGAGTCCATCATGCGTCTGAGCATCCTCCCCGTCTTGGCCCTCGCGGGCAGCGCTCTCGCTTCCGGAGCTACCATCATCGCTGCCATAAACGACATCGGAAACGCAACCCTGTCCCTCAACAAGACGATTGCCGACTGGCCCAAGACCCTCATCGGTACTCTACCCATCATCACAAAGTCCACCATCCTCCTTGCCGAAATCCACAACGGCACCAAGACGGCCCGCGCATCTCGCGAACTGTCGGTCGACGAGACGATTGCAGTCGCCCAGGCCACCACCAAGCTAGGAGGTCAAGTCAACATGACCCTCGAGACGGTCATCCGGGCCAAGCCCGACTTTGACAGGCTGCTCCTCCGCCCTGTCATTCTTCTCAACTTGGAGCTGCAGAGGGATTTGACCGAGGACTTTTCAGACGCTGTCATTGCCAAGGTTCCGGATGAGCTTCAAGCAAACGCTAAGGAATTGGTCAAGGGAATTGGAGAGAGTTTTGAGAAGGCCATTAAGACATACTCTTCATTGCGGGGATAGATATGGGTGAAAAGCACGAGACACGAGACACTGGAATGGCCTGTAATTATCCTTCTTTACGACATAATTAGACATGCTTAATTTTAATGAATTATGGGTATGAACTAGAGCTCGTTTTGGAAGGTCTTGCGTTGGTTGTTGGAGCTTACTTGAGAGTTCATTGAGCCGAGGCATGTAAGTTGACACGTGCCGGAGGAATGATAGGTGTGCAACCTCAGCTGTGAATTTTACCGAACCCTTGTATTGAGAATTTTAACCACTTATGAGACCTTTCCCCGCTTGAATCAGACAAGGGTATTTATCCCTCTTTTGTGAAGCTGAATACTGAGACAGACCTCCCTCGCCGTCACTCTTAACGGTGCAACTTGACAAGAACTAGATCTTCAGCCCCTGCCTCTTCCATCAATTCCGATCAACTGAGGCCTGAAGAGCTGACCATGGGAATATAGAAAATGAAGCTATCGCACCAGAAAGAACAGAGGTCCTGGTCGTGCCTCGTGAGGGGACAGCGTAGTTGTCGTGTTTACAATATTCCGCTCCGTTCCCACTCCCGGATGCCTTCCGAGCCATGTCATAGTTAACTCCTACAAAGACAAGACACCCTTAGATCATGATATCGCACGGATCTCCGAATTCCTCTCATCGAATCAGTCGTCGCCCGGCATGCGCTCCCTGTCGGACGCGGAAACTGGCCGCTCAGAACCAACATGCAAACGATGTCGAAAAGCACGCACAAAACTCAACTGCATCTACCCATCGTCAACATCGCCATTGGGGACATCGAACAGTGGATCAGAATTAGTCTCTGAGGCCAGTGCTGCCACTGGGACGAGGTCGCAAACAGCACCAAGACCCTGGATTGATGCGGCTTCTGACTCGGGCTACTTTGGCTATACGAGTCACAACAACGTCTTTGAAGAGACTCAGTTGAATCTCTTTCTGGCCAATGGATCTACTTCACAGCAAGTTACCACAGAGAAAACTGAAGGGAACCATCAGCGGGTCGTCTTTGGCGAGCTCCAATCACCTATCCGAGAGTCTGCTCTTTTCGTCCTTTGATGCTTACCTGTTGAGCAAATGACTTCACTGAAATCTTCAAGTAATCTAAAGGGATAGGTCAATGTTGCAATTGATCGAACAATCCAATCCATCCAGATCACGTTTAAGGATCTACTGCAACAGGGCGATGGGGGCCTGAGCGCCTTGGCCGAGGTCCTGTGTAACAACACTAGACGGCCTATCAAGGAGGAGTGCCATGATGTCGAACAATGGATCAGCTAATTCTGTGGCCGGAATATCCGCTGGGAATCCATAGGACTCTTTTGGGCTGGGATTGCACGGATATCAGATGACGTCGACTCTCTTCGTAGCCACCACGTTGAATCGCTTGCTCAGCAAGTGTCCCCTGAGACAGCTCGGACTTGTTTAGGTTACTGTATTGAACTCGCTCGCACTGTTACCGAGGGAAATGAGGTACTGCTGGATCTTTGCCGTCGAAAGTCGGTTCTCGACTCCATCATTGACGGTGATGCCCGTAAATTCTAGCTCTTGATTGCCCAAGATCAGGTTCTCACTGACAACTCTCAGGAATCTCGAGCTTCGTCTCCCACAGCCTGGCCGTCACTATGCTCACGTATCTTGGACTCTACGATTTGGAGAATGGGCCCTCGTACAGACCAACACTTTGCTCCGAGTATCGACGTCGACTTGTCGCCCAGATCTTCACCACGGACAAGTTTGGCGTTTCCTTTGCCGGTCGGCCGCCCTCCTTGAGCGCTACATTTTGCTCCACTCCGATGCCCCTTGACATTTGTGATGAAGACCTTGGTTCTGATGATGCCACTCTGATGTGAGCATTTAGCTCGTTGGATGACCATGGTTGGAATACGGTTGGTGAGATATATCCGACCACCATGATTCGAGCGCGACACATGATTGCTGTCATACGCGACGAGTTGATCAATATCGCCTTGTGTAAGAGAAGACCTGTGGATCCAAACCAACTCCAGTTCGTTTTGCTCCCCATGGTTTCGTTGGGATATGCTGACATTGAGACAGAGAGATCGAGACTTGACAGATGGCATCCATGTCTACCCTCCCAGAATGGATCAAGTACAACCCGGAAGATTTGGCTAGCCCGGACGTTGATGCAAAGACCTTGTACTTTAGAATCACACTTCAGCTGGATTACTCGAAGAATATCTTCTTTGTTGAAAGATTGCTTCATCAACATAGTCACTCTGACAAGAGGGACTTGGTAATTGCAAGCTTCGACCTCGTCAAACTAACAGTTGAACTATGGAAACGTCAGAGCTCTTTGGACAACCCTGTCATACTACGCGAATTCGAATGGCAGGTATGAATCACGGTCCTTTAGTTCGCAAGAAGACACCTGACTTGAAGTGTAGCTCCTGGAGTACGGGGCACCCGGTGGAGGCATCCTCTGTCAAGAGCTGCTCCAGCCAACTCCCACCGGATCTGATCCTCGCTACGCTGGATTGACGAGGTCGGCCATCGTGCAGAAGCTGAGCTTGCTGGTTGGCTTTCTAGACTGGGTTCCCGCTTCGGCCCCTGCTGGGGAATCGTGCGCCAATTTTAAGCATCTTATCCAGCGCGTCTTGGACCATCACTTGAATGAGCCTGTCGGGCTGGAGGCGAGGGGAAACTTGGAGACTTTGGGCTGGGGATCGTTGTTACTGCCACCTTTCCGCTTTGGCTTGTTGAATAGTTTTGACTGGCTTGGTCCTGGTGTGTGATATATGTCTCTTCTTGGCATGTTCGCCCATGTGATTACCCCCCAACCCAGACTATCACAGATGTGTCCAAACTGAACCGTTCAAGTCACCTTTAAGTTTTCATACTTGTGTTCGACATGATAGCCTCCAACTCGTCTGGATCTTTGGGCACATCGGTAAGATTCACGCTGCCATTCCGAGTAACCACAAGATCATCCTCAATGCTTGGAAGCCATTGTCAGTGCCAAACAACTGATCTCCACAATGTCCACTCACCATACGCCGCCAACATCCCAGTAGTTGTCAAGTACCTTTTCATCAATGTATTGCGAGACCCTTTGGTCGTTGAGATACGGACGGATCATATGTGGGCTAAAGTGAATCTGGGAACGTCAGCTCAGAAACGGCGATTTCAGGGTTCGTGGTCACACTCACACCTGGCTCGACCGTCAGTACGCATCCCGCAGGGAGACGTCTCCTCACTCTCAGATATTTGAACATGGGATCTGGATCAGCCTCGTTGGGTCGACCACCTGTATCATGCGTATCCATGCCTAAGAAGTGACCGAGACCATGTGGCATGAAAGCGGTGCTGATTCTTTCAGCCAGAATCTCATCCTTATCCCCTTTCAAGATGCCGAGCGCCAAGAGGCCATCAATAGCAATCTTGTGTGCCAACACATGGAAATCATCCCACAGAACACCCCCCTTCAAAGAAGCAATGCAAACTTCCTGCATCTTGAGAACAATTTCGTAAATTGAACGAGATTCAGGAGTAAACTTGCCAGAAATGGGTAGAGTTCGAGTCTGCTTGGTGTTGGCCGGGGACAGACGTGACCAAGGACAAACTCACGATATCCGCACCATAGCAGTTCCATTCGGCTCCGGCGTCAATAACCACCACGTCTTTGGCCTTGCCGTCTTTGTAGAGATCCTGGTTGTTGGCTTCGTAGTGCATTGTGGCAGCTGTGCGTCCGCTTGCATCAATGCGTGGATAGGCTTGGACTTTGGTCCCTCTCTTGGTGCACTCTCCCAGAAATACACCATCAATCTCCGACTCATTCTTGCACTTTGTGACAGATTTGATGACGGCTAGATGAGCTGCTGAGCTGATGGTGTTTACCTTTTTGATCAATGCAATCTCGTATTCATCCTTGACCACCCGACACTCGTCAATCTCTTCTTTGAGGATAGTCGAGTCCACGGTCATTCCGCCCGGAAAGTTGATCCCATGTCCCACATGGCCAGAGATGGTAAAGAATGTACTCTCGTCTTCATGCTTGTTGCTTCCGATCAAGTCAAGTGTCGTCTGAAGATCGGTATTTGGCAAGACAGCGTCGACGTCGAGGTTGCCAAGGACTTCCTCAGTGGTCAAGGGCATGCCGGGCCAGAGAACACTTTCAGGGTCGAGGGTTGGTACAAAGAGTGTTATGCGCTCATTGTCAATCTCATATATCATGTGGCAATCGGGAATGTCAACACCACTCAGGTACATAAAGGCTCTCCGCTGGCGAAACGGAATAGCCAGGTCTGCATCATCGTAGAACCTTTCTGGAGGACCTGTCAGGAAGAGGAAGCCCTTTGAATGAGATACTCTGGACCGGATATAGTCGATCACGCGCCGGACATGCCCTTTGGCGGGATACTTCCCCTTGAGTATGTCGGCTACTGGCATGGTGAATGTTGCTTGAAGATCAAGATGAGGAATGCTACTGTTTGCTTGAGAGGGAGCTGGCCTTATGGTGCGGGAAGATAAGATACGCCACAGTACGTATATTGATTTCAGTTCTAATTCACCTTGTCTCTTCTTTTACAGTTACTCGGGTCTCAAGGGGTTCTTGGTAGAGACCGAAGCCGAGGCCGAAGCCGAAGCCGAACATGCACCAGTGAGACGGCCGAAGCCGAGATAGAAACCAATGTCATCATGCACCGAATGATGCAAGAGCCAGAATCCTTCCGGTCCTCTTCTCTCCTCGGCTGGTAACCGACCACCCAATAGGGAGAGAACACAACCCAAGTGGATCATGAAGCAGTCAAGTATTTATCTACCCCTCCTTCCATTGTGAGCATTCCTAGTCAGATCTGTCCTACTTACGACGCTGCATCTTATCCAGAGCCCTCCGAGTAGATTCTTTTTCCACGGATATTACACAAGACGCCAACCATGTCACTTGAAATACCGAGAAGGTCTGGAGAAGAGCATGATGACGAAACGCCGCACATGTCCAGTCTTGCCCCGACGGATCGAGGCCCTGCTGCCTGGAAATTTCTCTTCGGAAGTTTCATCATCGAAGGAGTACTCTGGGGTAAGCTAAAAGGCTGATGAACGTGCCCCTCTGGCTGGAAACTGACACAGTTGCTACAGGCTTTCCAATGGCGTTTGGAGTCTTCCAAGAACACTACAGTCGTCAACCCGAGTTCAAAGACTCGCCAAACATCGCTGCGATCGGCACCATTTCTTCAAGCATATACTTCCTAGGGGCGCCTTTCGCCACACGTCTAGTCACCCGGTTCCAACGCTGGCAGTACCACATGGTGCTGGGAGGAACAACCACCTGCATCCTAGCTCTTCTCGGTGCGTCCTTTGCCCGGTCTGTCAATGTGTTGATCGCGACCCAAGGAGTCCTCTACGGAACTGGATTCCTATTCCTCTATACTCCATTACTCTCCATGCTGAATGAATGGTTCGTGCAACGGCGAGGATTTGCCTATGCGGTAGTCTTCGCTGGCGGAGGTGTCAGCGGTGTCGGCTTGCCATTTCTCTTTGAGTGGCTTTTGGGTCGATGGGGGTTTCGCGGGGCACTGCGAATCTTTATCGTGATCCAACTTGTCCTCGTCGTGCCTGTTCTTCCTCTTCTTCGAGCGAGGTTGCCTGTGTCAACTCGGGCGACCGTACGACCTGTCGACCTGAGCTTCTTGAAGAACCCGGTCTTTTGGCTTCTGACAGTGTCGAACTTGAGCCAGAGCCTCGCATATTATATTCCTCCACTCTACTTGCCGACTTTTGCCGCTGCTATGGGCCTCTCTGGGCCTATCGGCGCCCTTGTCTTAGCTGCACACAATCTGGCTACGGTTGCCGGTCAGCTCGGATTCGGGTATCTATCTGATCGCATTAATGACATCTTTGTCCTTGTCGTCATCACTGGCCTGGTTTCTTCCGTTGCTACATTTACGCTGTGGGGCCTTGCTCACTCTCTGGCACCTCTGATTCTGTTCACGACTATATATGGACTATTTGCTGGAGCCTATGTCGTTTTCTGGCAGCGTTTTGGATCAATGCTCTCTGACGACCCTCAACCTGTCTATAGCCTGATGGCGTTTGGCAAGGGGGTTGGGAACATAGTGATAGCGCCAATTTCACAGAGTCTATTGGACAAACCCCTATCCAGTAGCTATGGGCTGGGAAAGTTTGGGTCTCTGATTATCTATCTGGGTAGTTTGATGTTTTTCTCATCTGTTGGGGGAATGGCATGGCTTACAAAGCGTGTTGTGCGTCGTTAGTAGTTGGTGGTTAATTGCCACAAGAGAGGGGGATATATATTCAGCGGGAATTAAGTGTCCTCGGTGGAAGCATCATTGATTATGTGTGATGATGGTATTTGGATTTGATCTACCAGATACAACGAGAAAACCAGGCTTGCAATGCATAGTCCTGAGAGTGTGATGATGGTTGTTGCTGAGGTGTGGTACTGGGAGCAATGATAATGGTATGACTCGTACTCAGCTAAGTAAAAAAACCTGAGGCCTTTCCTGTTGAGAACTGTTCATCCTGGGAGTTTTCGATCCCATTTTCCCAGCGAGAAGCGTTGACTCATCTTTGTATTACATACTCATTATGCAAAGTCGGAAACCCCGCACGACTTGACGGGCCGATATTACGACCGAATGGTAGATAATGAGCTTCCTCGTCCTGGTAGTGTCACGGTTATGTGATTTCTCTCATCTCCACTACTGCGTCCGGTTCACTCAAAATGGCCCTGTCGATCAAACAACAGCTTCAAAATCGGACGTGGACTAAGGGTTCATACCTCATATCAACTGATCGTACCCTCCTGCCGACTCAGAAACTGCAAGAGGTGTTTGCCTCTGATGACTTCTATTGGGCCAAGCCGCTTCCTACAGATGCTATGCTTGACGTGCTGGAGAACTCGCTATGCTTCGGCTTGTACGAGCAGTCCCAATCAGACGGGACGGCCTCTTCCTCGCAGCCTCAATTTATCGGCATAGCCCGCTGCATTACCGACTATGTCACCTTTATATACCTCACGGATGTGTGGGTTGATCCCAAGTATCAGGGACAAGGGCTTGGAACTTGGCTGTTAAAGAGTATTCAGCAAGTCATCGAGGCGATGCCGTATCTGAGAAGGAGCTTGCTGTTCACTGGGGACTGGGAACGGTCTGTGCCCTTCTACGAGAGAGTTATGGGTATGGAGGTGATGCAGGGAGGGAATGGGCAGGGGTTGGCGGTTATGGGAAGGAAGGGAAAGGGACACTCGACTTATGTGGAGGATGAGAACTGCTGGTTGGCGGCTGTAGGAAGTCTTGGTCCGGGAACTCCTCAACTAGATGGAGACGGAAATTGACGTTTTACTTCCCAATTCCAGTCTTTGTTTTTGTTCCAGATGGGTAAGCTCTCAGTGCGTGAGGGGAAGGACAGGCGCATCACTGGTTGGTGCTTGAGCCATCTCTAAGGCGTGTATAACGCCACCTATTGGTTGTTGGGAATAGCATCGCAACATTATTCCAGGTAGAAATCTTGTCCTGGACGTGTCACACGTAATTATTTAGTCTATTATTCTTGTTTTTACTCTTGAAAAATCCCTCCGAGATCGGCTGGTCCATTGTGGTTTGCTTCGTGACGTAATCCACATCCTGATCACGCAATTGGCTTTCGTATAAATATCGACAGCCAAGCATTTGCGTGGTTTATGAAGTATCTTTCCCCTCAACAACATCTTTCGGCCAACTTTATCAACTTGAACGATCTTCAAAATGGCAGACAACACTTCTGTGCGGCCAATTCTGGATCATATCGTTATCTTGATCTCCTACGAAACCTTGCAAGAGTTGCCAAAGCGTCTTGAAGGCGCTCTTACAGTCATCGATGGTGGCACCCATGCCGATGGACGCACACTTAACAAGCTCATCTTATTCTCTGATGGCGTGTATATCGAGCTCATTGCCTTTCAACAAAACTTGGACCCGGAGAGGCGGAAGTCTCACCGATGGGGAGAACTGGAAGAGGGTACCGTCATTGACTGGGCACACACTCTCCCCGACGAAAAGAACTTTGCTGTGATCCAGAAACGGGTCAAGGATGCCACCTCTGGAGCCTCTTATAGGGACCCGGTTGCGGGCGGGCGTATTCGCCCTGATGGAGTCGAGTTGAAGTGGTCGGTTGCATCAGCCCAAGACGCTTCTTCAAACCCTCTCCATCCCGGAACCGCTCCTTTCTGGTGCCTTGACCGGACACCTAGACATCTTAGGGTCCCATATCAAGGCGACCAAGGCGCTTCCTCTACAAAGCATCCATCAGGGGCACTTGGAGTTTCACGGGTCTCTGTCACCGTCTCCGAGTCGGAGCTGGATGTTATCGCTGGTGTCTATGATGGAATTCATGGACCTGCTTCAGACACTGGCGCTGATGGGAAAGTGTGGTCTTATGTTGTGCACTCTGGTTCGACTCAAGGAAAGCATCAACTGTCGCTGGGCAAGAGTTCAGATCAGAAGCGACATATTCACATTACGCTTCTTGGAGATGAGAATAGCCCTAGCACTATTGAGGTTCTGCCTGGATTGACTTTCGGGATTGAGTCCTAGATAGTGAGGATAGCACATCTGGCCTCCTATGGTCACATAACTAGCGTACCCAGGTGCCAATGTATGAGATTGAAACCTAAAGGAAGAAGGAATGGAGGAATCACCTTTGTGTTGTTGTGTTACTGCCATATCACACTCAAATTGATCCTGGGATGTTGGTAGGCTGTGCTCACTGAACAGGAGGATCATCTTTCATATTGGAGCTGGAACTGATGTTTCGTCATCCCGTCTGATGTAGCGGCTGTCTGGTTCGACTTGCTTATGCACCGACTTAATAATTCCCCGAGGATCCTGACCAACGAAGACTCCTATGCTGCCCCTTGCTGGAGTCATGCGGCTGACCTGGGCGGAATCTTTGAAGCCAAGAACGCCATTGTGGGTTCAAACGTCATTCTGTCTGACTGAACTGTAGAATTGCAATTGATTACTGGTTAGAGTACCAGCACGGATCGGCATATGAGTATGGGGAATTTACGGGCTGTGATCTGTATTGAGCAAGTTGCAGCGACTATTGGTCGTGTAAGAGTATTATGGGTTTTGTGTTTCAGGTAAGCTTATAATGAATCAACTCAAAGACCAACTGCAGTAATGATCTTCTACTTTCCGTTGAAATTTATCTCTGAGTAACGCACCAAGATACTAGAGACGGGTAAACGCAGCGCCATGCATAATGTCGATCGATCTGGCTCGAGCGTCGTGTAACTGATGAAAATGGCGATGAATGGCTGAGAAAGAGCACACAAAGAACTGCCGATGATGAAAAAAGGAATGCTTACACGTAAGCCTTGGTCATGATCGCCGGTGTCAAGTCGGCAGAAAGCTGAGACAGCCTTGTATCCGCTCAGCTGAGGGGCTGTTTGGAGGTCGGGCCGTCGGTCATGAATGGATATCGGCATTCTGTTCAAGGGTGCACATAGATGATGTAGTCGGAATAGATATATTCTCTCTCAGTCTTTGCACAGCCTCATTTGAATCAAGATATCTATATAAGAGACAGCTTTCTCTCACTTAATGACATTATTTTTTCATCTCAAACAACACTTCCAAGTTAATCAAGTACAATATCAATTGCTTTGCCGAAAATCACTCTTCACCACACAAATTATCAAAATGAAGTTTCTCAACGCCTTCCTCGCTGCTCTTGCTGCCACCAGCGCCAACGCCGCTTGCGGTGTCGACATTTGCGACGGCGGCATCGAAGTCAGGAACTTTCCTTGCTACCTTGACTGCCAGAAGGGACCCTGCTTCATGAACAGATGCAATGACGCTTTCACCTCGGTAAGATGCCCTTGATTTCTAATATTGAGCTTGACGGGGCTAATAAGTTGATTAGATGATTTGCGAGAAGGGACAGAAGAACTGCGCCGAGTTCTCGTAGATGAAGACCAAGGCCAGATCTGGAGTAATAAGACTCTGAATTTATGAGAGACGAGTGCTTGGGATAGATCATCGGGTTTAGTTCTGGACTAAATTATCGGCGAGGTCTGTCAACATGGAATGGTACGGGATGGGGGGCTTTGTGCAACATAGAAAGCTACACACAACGAACTACGCTCGTTACATACCTAGGTTGAAATCAATCTCAAGATGCTAGCTGGAACACTTCATGGCCGTCGCCTTGGTGTTTTAAGTATGGTGATAGTCTCTCCTTTTAGAAATCTGGTCGATGTGCACTGGCTGGCGGGGGGTAAACATGAGTGGCTCAGGCGGCTATGGTTGCCGGTGATGGAATCATGAGTTGCACTACAGCCCCCTGAAAGACCAAGCTCCCGAAGAACCGTGCAAGTCCTGTTTAGGTAGCATTGAGACAGGGGTCTAATTAGAAGCGCTTATGCAGGCATAATGGACCATCTCGCGCAATCTAACTATTTGCGGTGGCGTGAGAAAGTGCCGTCGACGGGCACGGCGCTTTCTCCGCCGGAGCCTGAGAACAATAGACAGCCACCCTCCCGATGGAAACATATTTTATCAATGTCTGATTGTTATCAATATTTTTTCTGAGAGTATTTAGTCCCGTCAGTCAAAGGTCTTCAGCCACTGGTTAATCGCTGGACATGTTTACTCTTTTTGCTCAATTACCGGCCGAACTACAACTCAAGATCTGGGATGCGAGTTTACCGAGGCCTGGCATCCACATATTCGACGTCTGCTTTCAAGACATTTCTAGTCCCGATAAAACCATCTCTGGCGAGGCGGTAGACGAGGATGCGTATACTGAGCACACCTTTCTTAGCAGTCTCAATGTCACAGCCAAAGACCATCGTGGAGCTGCTTCTTCAACGACCTTCAAAAATGACCCGTCCACATACAAGATAGCAAATATCTTGTCAACAACGACAATCGATTCTTCAAACACGGTGAAAACCAGAACCGGCAGCGATCAGGAAGGGATGGCCAATGTCGTTCGCCTGCCCTCACAGAGCGAAGAGGTGACTTATGACAACAACAACGACGTTCTTTGCTTGCGTTTCGGTTTCAGCCATGATATAGAACAAGAAGTTGGACCAATCTTCCGAAACAACATCTCAAGGGTTCTAGAAGCTGAATGGTCTGAGGATATGGCGGCATCGCTCTTTTCTGCTCGGCGGTTAGCTATTGACATTGCCGAGATGTGGTCACCGGGTGGACTTGACCCCATGTTGATGGCTTATTTCTGCTGTTGTATCCAGAATGACCTCGAGGTGCTGTATCTGGTTGATTACTGTGTTGGAAGATGCCAAAGCTGCTTCAAGGGGAGTTTGAAGTCGAAGGACTTGGTGACGAGCAAGTGTGGGCTTGCGAAGGAACTAGACGCGGAAGACCGGGAGATGGATGCCATTTATGGTTCAACTGTCACATACAGAGAGGTTTCAAATCTTGAGAAACTGGGATGGGATTCTGATCACTTTGTGTTCGGCCTTGCTCAGGTTATGGGCGATACGATACGGGAGCAGCAGGGGAAAGAAGGAGCGTTCCGCTCAGTTCGGATTTTGGTATGTGAGGAAGAAGTAACTGGCACCGTACGTGCGAGATGTGTAGAGAATCGTTGGTAGACATTATTTGACGATTAAGAATGAAGCGCATAATCTAAAGTAACTCTATGAAAGCTCTAGGGAACCTTGTCTAATTAATGTTCAACACAAGCCGTTAGATGCTGTTTCCTTGTTGACTGTCATCATACCAAGTGTTATTCCAGCCCGACTCTTCCATCATTTGACAACTCATGAGACTATCAAAGAACGCGGCGTCAACACCCTGAAACGCCCAATCACCTGAATCTGCCATGAGATCTGGCATTGGGATATCAAACATATCAAGCTCTGTCTGCTGGGCGATCGAGACTTCATCACTGATGAGTAGGTGTTGGGGCAGTTGTATAGGCTCCTCGGAAGATGTGTAGGAGGCCAGACCACTAGAAACAGCAGAAGACATCGTGTGTGAGCTGTCTGTTTGGGTTGTGCTTGGCGCGGCCTCGAGAGACGGTGAAACAAACGAGTCTTGAGGCGCCATCTTGACGGTCCCAAAATATGGGACCTTGAGATGGAAAGAGCGTTCGCCTTGCCCGTTGTCATTATCTTCTTGAGTTTCATCCACGACGCCGAAGCTGTAGGCATCCCCGGTTTTTGCAGAATCCGCCTCGAGAATCAGTAACCGTCTCGCTAGCTTTGCAGTCTCCCTTGTCAGTTCATCTCCATTGAGTCGATTGAGCTCATCTAGAGTTTCTATCGTTTTCTCTACTAGCGCCCTATCCCCGAGGCGTTGATGCTTTAGGAGCCATGTTGAATCTCGGCCATCACGGCTCAGGTGAGCGAGCAGGAGAGTCAGGGCGGCCGTCAAGGCGCAAAAGTCGACGGGGCGGCAGCAAAACACGATCCTGACAATAGACCTGAAGGCGATGTACCTGTTTAGAACCTCGCGGCTGGCGTATGTGCAGACCGTCTTGTTATAGTCGTATTGATGGCTCGGCGTCTTGCGAAGGAGATATGGTAGATGAAGAACCGTGAGCAGATTGTAGTGAATGATTTGCATCTGTGCATTCACCACAAGTGCCATCAAGTCGTCACCAGTCATTCCCGGACGAAGTTCAAGTGGTGCCCACCAGCTGCTTGGAATACTGTCGGCAATCCTGTTCATCGTCTCGTCGATTTTCTGGGTTGCAGCGAGGTCATCACGGTTGCCGCGCTGATTGTTATTGATGATTTGCTCACAGATATCGACCTGGAACCTCTCAAACCACTCCGCGTCTGTCTCGTCGACCTTCTTCATCTCGGACCCAAACTTCGCATTGGCTATGGAACTGGAAATTCCGAGCAGAAGAGATATGTAGCGTTCTAGGTACGCAATGTGTGCCCAGGCCACATCCCCCGAGACACGTGTCGCTGCATCATGTTGCTTTGGCGTGGTGTGGCAGACTTTGCGATGAAACCCCATGAATTGAGCTAGTGTTGTAGCGCGGCGTAGGGTTACCAATGCTCGACGAAGGTTACCGCAGTTGACGAGGTAGACTCCTTCATAGACGAGACACTCGAGCCCTTCGAGGGAGTCTAGTAGATCGTCATGGCAGGTCACCTTACTTGAGGCAAGAGAGTAGTACTTGTGCATAGCTTCACCCGCACTCATTCCCAAACGCAAAGACGCATAGTTGAATGAAGGGTCAAGTTGCTGTATACAGAGAGCGAGCTGCAATAGCTTTCTGGCGAGAACTACCGGGTGGGCGGTGACTGGAGGGAGGATCGACAGCATAGCAGCTGATACAGAGTTACCTTCCTCGAACAGCTCTCTGTAGGAATTGCACAGCGCTTGTATATAGATTGCAGCTCTTCCAGACCCGAAGAGAAGATCTACACCGTGCTGAGACGGTAAAGCGGCGTGGAGGATTTGACATGTTTCCGCGAATTCAGGCAGGGCATAATGACTTGCTGCCGTGGTGTCGTCTGCTGTTCTCTGTATTCAGGTTAGCTCACCTATGAACGGCTAATGCATGCATGGCCAGCCACATACCAGAGCTATTTCGGTGACTACATGATGGATGGAGTCTTCATGGCTGGTGTCACCCACGTCTTGCCAGCCGTCTCTGGCACTCCGTTCTTCCGCCGACACTCTCAGAATAGGCAATTGGCTCTGCGACTTGTCGTGCTCATCACTCAGGCCGTCGGTGAGAAACTTCTCAGTGAGCTTCGCAAGCATCTGCTCTATTCTTTCCAGTTTCTCTGCCGTCCTTGGATCCTGTTCAGGTTTAGATGCAGCGATGTCGATAAACTCTTGGCCTACGCATCGCGTGCCTCGGCGCTGACATCCCACACATATGGCAGATGAGAGATTGTCAAAGAAACATCTTGTCTTTCGCCTCTTGCCTGAAGAACTAGTCAACACTATCCAGCAAAGTTGAATCTGGCTCGTACATTCTGCGCAGCTATGTGTGCCCTTGCGCAAGAGCCTCCTTGGCGTGGACGACCCAGCGGTCTCGCTAGCGCGTGTATTCTCTTGATCCATGACGTCTGGGTAGTGGGAATAATCGGCGGGAGGATCTCCGTGTGTAGAAACTCTGTGTAAGGTGGAAAGGAGTAAACAGATATTTTCCGCCGTCGCTCCGCCGAAGATGGGAAATCGAGTTGATAGCTAGCGTCTTACTCAGATTTTAGCTCTGCCCCAATTGCATGGCTGGATCAATATGCTTCCGGGTCGTCTCGCATTGGGCTGGGACGCCACATTGCTACTCTATCTTTGCTAAGCGTTGGGTCAAGGCTCACCAGCTAGAGGCGGGCCGGAGCCTCGTCCGCCGGTGTAAGTCAGTGTGGTTGTATATATAGACAAGATGGAATGATTGTAATGTTCAGTATCAGCAACCCCGAGCCATTTTGCAGCGAGATTTACATCAAACAGAAACCTTCCATTTATGCACAATGTCTCCCACCGGCCCATCACCAGTTGAGCTTTGTCTTCATCCCTCAGGATGGAGATCTGCCCCAGAGTCGGAGCGATATCCCCTCTCCCTCATGGGTCACGTCATGCCCAAGATCTACGTCGCTGTTGCCGAAGTTTTTACTCTCCCAGAAGGCACCAACATTGAGGCGACAGTTCGCAACATGACCGCTGGACTGGAGTTTACGTTATCCCAGTTCCCAATCCTTAGTGGTATTCTGGAGATGAACGCTGCTACTGGGACTATGTGGGTTGCTAAGAAGCGAGACTCGACAGCCAGCTTGCACGTCAAGCATATGCTGGGCGAGGACGAGTTCCCTAGTTATAAAGAGCTGGCCGAAAAACATGTAAGACTCCCCTAACCTCTTGTAGAGAGTCACAATACTGACAAAGAACAGTTCCCAGCGAGTGCCCTCAAAGGCGGCCAGCTGCTCCCCGAATTTGTCACAGCCAAACCACTTCACTCTCCTCTTGGCGACAACAATGAGGAGGGAATCGCTGTTGCTGCCTTCCAACTCAACTTCATCCGAGATGGTCTCATCATTGCCCTGGCCATCCATCACTCTGTGTCCGATGGGCCAGGATGCGATGGATTCTTGACCACCTGGGCAGAAAACACGGTTGCTGCAGCAAAGGGTACTCCGTTCATTCCTACAAAGCACAAATTCAGCATCCATGGGACCCCACTTGACATTGAACGCCCATCGATGGCTCGAGTTGAGGAACTTGACAAGATGCTCCCCGTTGTGCGAGATGCGGGCGGCCCGATGCAACCTCCTCCTGCCGGCTTCGTGATGCCTACCTTGGTTGCCCAGATGTGGCACTTTCCCAAGAGCAAGGTTGACTTACTGAAGTCTAAGGCCTCGAACCAGGATGGAGGCAGCTGGATCTCTACCTATGATGCGATAATGGCTCTGTTGTGGAGCAGCATCACGCGTGCGAAGCTGGAGATGTTCAAGCCAGACCCAGAGTCTAAAGCAATCCTGGTCCACGCCGTAGACACTAGAAAGGTCTGGAGCCCATCACTGCCCGATCGCTTCTTGGGTGTTGGTGCTGCCGCCGCACGCTGCGAGCCATTGGCAGTCAAGGACATCATCACAGGGAACCTGTCCCAACTTGCAGCGTCGGTGCGAGGATCCATCAACGCCATCACTCCAGAGTATCTTTCGAACCTGCTTGAATGGGTAGCCGGTCATGAGGATCAGCGATTCCTCGAGACCAGCATCAACTCCTTCCTCGGCATTGATCTCGGCGCGTCTAGCTGGCAGGGCATGACTACGTACGAGGCGCATGACTTTGGATTTGGACTTCCCAAGGCGTTGAGATGGCCAAACCCAGGTTTTGAAGGCTTTGTGCTGCTGTATCCCAGCCGAGCGGGATCTGTTGATGCCGCTGAGGATGAAGGTATTGAGGTGTGTGTATGCTTGGAGGAGAGTTGCCACAAGAGGTTGTTGGAGGATGAAGTGCTGTTGGAGTATGCTCAGCCAAGGGGCGACTAGAGGCTGAGTGCGGATTGCGAATGTGGAGAATTTTTGCCTGGAGGTCGGGAGAGGGTTCCTTGAAGATGAGTGATAAGTAAGAAAGTAAGTAAGTGTGAGATCGAACTTGAGAGATTTCGTAGATTCGAATTAGGAAACAAGTAGAATAGGACCTGACATCACCACCCTCCGCGTCTCCTAAACTCTAACTTCATCTACTAGACTTTGGCAACAGCTACAATGGGACCTCCGGCACCGCCCTCTTGAAGAACAACAACAGCTTCCTCGCCTGGCTTCATTGAGTCCCTAGAAGCAGGGAGAGGAAGGGTTAGGTTTCCTCCTGTCCACTCTCCAATCTTCATGACATTCGTCACCGCATTGCGGTGGTTGAGCTTTTTGCCCTTGTTGGGGCCCTTTCCAATCTTGACTTTTTCGTCACTGGCTCGGTAAAGGATGACAAAGATGTCATGTCTGTCCACAGTCTCGGCGGTCGAGTCAATTCTGACATCAGTGTCATTGGCGTCGAGGTAAATGTTCCATCCCATTCCTGCTCGAGCAGTCCTGGCCTGTTGAACAAGCTGTGGAACATCTCCGGCGGAAGAGCCATCGGCAATGCCATTGATGACAATCTGAGGAGTAAAGATGCTCTTGCGTTGCCACTTCATGGCATAGCCTCTCTGACGCTGGTCGGAATTGGTGGTTGCAAAAGTGTCTTTCCAGCCAGTGTGGTCAAACAAGGTGACATTGTAGGTGAGCAGGAGAAGGTTGGGGTCCTTTGTCGCGTCAAGAATGTCAGGGACAGCGGCGGGGCAGGATTGGCAGCCTTGAGATTGGAAGAGCTCAATGAGGGAGAGGGGCTCAAAGTCAACAAAGCAAGCAGCTGTGTGCTTATGGCTGGGGTCCTCGCCAATGGGATGGCCATGGTCGTCGAGAGCGACGGCACAGACCATGGGGGGTTGCTTCTTCCGACGGAAGAGCTTGGCAAGGAGAGAGGCCATTGTCCGAGATGGATATGTGTGAGAACGAGGAGGGATGCTGAGAAGGGGTTGCTGTGCTGATGAAGATGTAAAAGATGGAGATCAGGAGAGCGAGAAATCGCGCTTATATAGATGAATCTCGAGAAAAGAGTCCGGAAAATTCGATATCTTGTTTTTGGACAGTCTTGCAAGACTCGTCACGCTCCCTCTTAGACGCCAGCGACAAAAGTCCGGGCCAAAATGTTGGTTGTCCACCCAAATGCAGCTTGGGTTGCAGGTACACCATACCAGCCCCATTACGAGGTGGATAAGCTGGTATTGTAAAGCCCGCAATCTGTCGGCGGAGGTAGCCCATCCTATCATGAAGCTGTAATGATTCCAATGGCTCCCACCATCTCAATGAGCTGAAAAGCAGGTCAGAAGCCCTGTCGGGCTTAGACAGGGGTCGCTTGTGGAGGGAGCGGAGCCGTCATCACAGCCACGCCGAGGCAGCTCGCATTCTCCTTCCGAAAGGGGTATAGCATCGATATGCAGTGCCGTTTGAATTGATTCCATTTCTGGGGAAGGATATGATTGGTTTTTGGTGTTTGACGTCGTCATCAGCAGAAGCAATGTTTGTCCTTGACTTGCTGTGCCTCCAGGCCCAATCTGAGTCTGCCTTGGGCTTGATGTGTTCTGGTCAGCTATGCCATTGTGACACAGAGAAGTCATCCCACTTTCAAGGGCCATGTTAGTCTCTTTGAGAGCCCTTCAATGGCATGGCCGAGTTTGACATCTGGTATTTGAGTTTATCTCGGCAGCTCGAGGTTTCTTGCTGAAATAGGTTGAGGAATAGGATACGCCTCTGGATAGGCAGCGAAGCAGCCTTGTAGGCCTCGGTCGCTCGCAATTCCTCAACATCTATAGCCTGCGCCGCGTAGATAGAGAACCAGGAGGAAGGCAATTGAACATACGTGTGCGAGTATTAAAGACCTGTAGGAACTATTGAATTTGATGGAATCAACGAACCTCAAACCGGTCTCAACAGTGTTATCACTTGCTAACTTGGAACAACAAATTGAGGATCAAGAGTCTATCAAAACAGCCTCAGAATGAGTCCTAACGGTACGTCATGCCCATACAAAGTCCCATACTGGGCGTTGTACTGATACCGCATAGACTCGTCCGGCGGATCTTCAGGACCGACGGATAGCACACATGCTGGTGATGATAACCGTCCACTTGCCCAACATCAGGTTAGACAATATCTCTTGGTGTGTAAGAGAAACCATATTGTTGCTAACTTCTTCACTTATCCAGAGCCCACGAGATGGCGGGTCGACGACAAACCCATCTGAGAAAACACCCAATCCAAATACGACGCCCGTCATCTACGGTCTCGTTCCTACGGATTTCTTTTCCTTTGCAAACATGAGTGACGGTGGAAGCAAGAAGGGCAGCTCTTAGGATGTAAATTAGTTTGATGGAACCTTTAGTGAGCTTGGAGTGTTTGAAATGTTGTGTATAAACCACGGAGTGCTAATTCGCTCTATGTATTTCTGTTAGAAGTGTACGAGTGATTTTTTGGATTAGCAAGTTTTAGCGTACTAGAATTGATATAAACTATTGTTATAAAGAGACTCCCTTTTGTTTTTGTTTCTCATAAGGTCTTTGGTGTGCGAGAAGTGAGTGATTGTAATAAGAACGACAGGTAAGTCACGATGAAACGGGCCGCGTTTATCAAAGAACAAATTTCCTAGATGCAAGTATTATAAAACTACCAACTCGAACTGTAGTACAGAAAAGCCTTTCACAATAAAGATGAAAGGTAAAGAGAAAGAAAACCTTGTCCTACAGCCCCTCCCCTTTCAGCTCTATGATAATAACCAACACGAAATGCACTCTCGTTTAGAATCAGAGCTTTAAAGACCGTTAGACTCCAAAAACCCAGTAATAACCTTGTATGCCCCAGTGGCGTTGTGATGGAAGTTGAAGTTGTGGCTAGCATGAGGGTGGAGGTAGGGCTGGAACTTGGCATTCTTCCAGATGGTGCGGGCAGGCTCCTCGAAGATACCCTCGCATTCTCCATCACAGATGATGTAGTCGGTCTTGCCCGTGATGGCCTATCGTGTGTTAGTATGGCCCGGAAGCGAAAGGTTGGAGAACCTACGAGAGCTGCGCCGGTGAAACGACTGGCATCAAAGTCGCCGTCGGTGATTGTAAGAAACTCTCCGATGCCGAATGCCTGCTTGTATTCTTCGCAGTAGGATGCAGTAGGCAGATCGTAATAGGGATACTTGAAGTACCTATTTACCTGTCAGTGAATGGGTATGGGGCAGCGGAATACAGTGCTTACGTGTTGATCTGCGCAACGCTATCGACCCAGGTCAGGTATCCAGGGTCGAGGAGCCCGAAGCGTCGAAGGTTCTGAAGAGACGCCACCCGAGGAACGAAAGATCGAACCAAGCCGTTTGCGTTCAGTCCAGTTGTGTTGTAGTTGATGGCAGTCAAGATGGCAGCATCGGCAATGTCTGGGTTTTCAGCCACGGCAAAGTGAGTGATGAAGGATCCAAAAGAGAAACCCATGACAGCGAGCTTGTTGGGCTTTCCAAATGTGCCAGTGTACTGGCCATTCTTGACCATCTTGGCGAGCTCAACGAGAATGGTCTTTTGCTTGCGAAGCTGGTTGGTGAAGCCAGAGACTCTGAGTATCAGGTCAGTTTTGATCAAAAGGTGGGAGGAGAGAGACGAACTTTTCAGATTCACCGGTGCCTAGGCGGTCATAGAACCAGACAGAGTAGCCTTGGCTGATGGCGTGCTGAACAAAGTTGTACTTGTCAGGCTCGTAGGCAGAGTTCCAATGAGTGCGAGCCTGTCCAATCCCATGAGTGGCAAGAATGACGGTCTTCTTCTTGTTGGACTTCTTTGGAGTACAGAAGGAGGCAGCGAGCGTGAAGGTCTCCGTCTCATTCTTGGTGCCGGTGATGGGGCTGGGGTAGCCAGCACTGGCTCGAGTTGTGGCAGCCGTCAGGAAGTCCTGGAGTGCATAATCGTCCTTCCAGTCGGGAAAGTCAAAGACGAGGTTCTCAGACGTGATGGTGACTGGAACCTTGTACTCCCAACAGTCGGCAGTTGGTGGATAGTATGGCTGGGTCAAGGCCAGGGCATCAGAGGCGCCAGAAGGATAGGTCTTGCCGGAAGCAAGGCCAGTAGTGACGAGAGAGGCGAAGATGAGATGAGTAGAAAGCATCTTGTAATTTTGAAAGAAAGGACTGAAGAAGGGGTAGTTGAGAAGTTGAGTGTGAGGATAAAGGACGAGATTGTGAAAAACTGGTTGAATCTCCTTGATCATTTATACCTGAATTTCATAATGTTGGATCTTATTACTGTCCATGAGCACGGCGGAGCATTTCGTCACTTTCTAGCGAAGGATACCTCAATTTCGCTCATTGTATCCGCAAACGGCTTGTAGATGCACTGGTACCTCGGCGGAAGAAACCCATGTTGCACCACATCACCATCAGCCATTGGCAAGTTGAAGTTCAGCCCTAATGATGACAGTTTCTTTTCGCCAATCAGACCTGCGAATTGGCACCGTTGTATCGGACCCTCCGGGCTACGGTCAGCACTAATGCCGGCGGTTATAGCGTGGCGTAGCTAGCTTGTCAGCTGTAACGCTAGCATGAGATATAAGAGCAGGGCAGCCGATCGGGAACCATTGCGCGAGCTGCCGAGGAACATTCACGACCTGCGAGATTTCACTGACGTGCTTCACCATGGTTGGCGTTCCAGGTCGCAGCAAAGGCTGCAACACGTGCAGAAAGCGAAGAGTCAAGTGCGGTAAGATCTCACTGATTCTCCACAAGTCATCGGCGTACTGATTGTGTAGACGAGACGAAACCCGTGTGCGTACGTTGTACCAAAGGAGGCTTTGAATGTCTGGGATACATCAGAGACCGAGTTTGGCGACATACTTCGACCGCTCCATTCCCGACGATGGAACCTGCAGAAGCGACCTCGGCGGGGCAGAGCGCTTCAGCCTGTTCCAGCAAGGACACAGGCCCTACGAATACTCGGGTTGCCTCCCCACCACCTGAGATGAGCCTAATTGCATTTCAAGGCGACTTTTGCTTCTCCTTCATGTTTTCCAATTTTGTATGGCGAAGCTACGGAGCCCCTTGGCTTGATCAAGCTGCAGCAGGGAAACTCGGTCGTCTCTCTCTAGATGCCACAAAAGCGCTCTCGCAAGCCAACTTTGGCAAGTCAAATCACCAGTCCGATATTGAGCTCAAGGGAGTCATACAGTACGGAAAGTGTCTTGAGAGTCTGGCTCAAGAACTGGGGAGTAGCTGCGGGCAGGACCTGCTGGTACCCATTCTTGTTCTGATGATGCATGCTGTGAGTTCCTCAGAGTGGGTTGAAACGATTCTAGGCACTTATACTATTAGGCATCTCATGCGGATCAAACTGGCGCTGTATCTCATCTGAGAGGACTTGCTAGGCTGTTACATATCTGTGGACCGGAAGCCTTTCAGCAGCAGCCTCTACTCAATGCGTTCGAGGCAGCACGAGCAACATTGGTCAGTACCATCAGATTGATCAGAGGTTGCAATGCTAACGTTGTTACTATAGCTTGTTGCTAGCTTGTACGGCAAACAACCTCTGTTTCTTGAAGAGGAGCGCTGGCGAGCTGTCCCGTTTGCAGCGAATGCCGCGTCCAAGACGCCGCAAAGCTATCTCCTCGACATCCTCGTTGCTGTGCCTAGAATTCTCCACGACCACGCCGCGTATGAGACTTCAGACGAAGCTCAACAGATTCCCTATGGAGACTTGTTGAGAAGAACCGAGGCACTCCTTGTTTCGCTCTATCGTTGGCGCTGGCAATGGCAAGCTCGCTCTGGTGATCAAGTGGAAGTTGATGCTGGTACCACTTCACAGCTCAATGGTCCAGCAGCCGAGGCTCTAGGTTCCATTGGCACTTCAAGGAAGTCGGGGCGCCTCAGGTTCGGCAAATTCACTCTTGCGACAGAGCTTATGCTCTACAATGCCATACTAATGTGGCTGCTGGCGCTTCTGTGGAAGATGGATCCTCTTGGCGCAAGCCACCGCATCGAAACTTGCGCAACAACTGCCACACCCGCTGAAGCCTCTGTCAGATACTTGGGCTTTGATCCACTTCGCAGACCAGGTGCTTCAGTCTCGGTTCGAGATCCCGCTATGGAGATCCTCCGCGCTTTCGAGTGGGTGACCCGCCATCACAGTCGAAGCAAGGAGCCCACGTTCCTATACCTATTCCCAGTTGGAATGGCACTCAGCGTTATAGGGATGGAGCCTGAGGCGGGGGCTTGGGCTATCAGTCTGTTGAATAGAAGTCCCATCACGGCTAATTATGCTCAAGGGCAGAATCCGGCTGGGTTTGGCTTTTATGTAACTCGCGAGTCACTTCATCCAGAGACAGTCGACGCAGAGTTACAACTCTTTTCGGAGCAGGATCTACAACAACTTGCAATATGAGTTATGTGATTGGAAATACTGGGCTTCAGAAGAAGTTCAAGTGAGGGGTATATTCTTGATCATGCCATGCTGGACATGGGTCGCAGTGCAAGGGCTACAGATTGGAAACTAGTCTTTGTAAGCAGATAGCCAAGACAGGGCTGAAGCTAAATAATCCATATGTAGACAAACGATGCGCCTCTCGTATGGTGCAACGTCTGTTGAATTAGTAAGATGGCTTGATTACCAATCTCATGGGCATCACCTCATTGTCCTACGAGATAAATAGATGTTGCAAGGCTCTGAATTCTCACTTCATGTAGAGTCAAAGAGCATCATTACACTCAAGTCTTGAGCCTTTATTAACATCAACCATGGCGCCGACATCCAACAAGTCCTTCATCTACAAGAAGATCCCAGATATCTATCTGGTTCCTGGAGAGCATATCGTCGTCGAAGACCGGCCCTTGGATCTTGAGTCTGCCCCGCTTGAGGGTGGCATCCTTGTCAAGGTCTTTTATACCTCACTAGACCCCTACATCCGTGATCGCACACGCGATCCCTCCGTCGAGGACTTTATTTCGGCTCTCGATGTCGATACTCCCATCGTCAGCGCCATTGTCGGTCGTGTCATTCGGTCCGAGTCTGAGAAGTACCAAACAGGAGATCTTGTGATGGCCTTTTACGGCGACCACGTCGAGTATGCTCTCATCAAGGGAGATAAACTCGAAGACGCCAGCTTGTGGAAGATCTCCAACCCCCATGGACTGGACATCACGTATTTTCTAGGCGTGCTGGGAATGGCAGGCACCACAGCATTCCAAGGTTTGTACAACATTGGTAAGCCCAAGAAGGGGGAGACCATATTTGTCAGCGCCGCATCTGGGGCAGTTGGACAGCTTGTTGGGCAACTCGCCAAGGCCGAAGGCCTCAAAGTAATTGGTTCGGTGGGCAGCCAAGCCAAGATTGACTTTGTGGTCAATGAACTTGGCTTCGACGACGCCTTCAACTACAAGACGGAAGAATATGGAGAGGCGCTGAAGAGACTGGCACCCGAAGGAATCGACATTTTCTGGGACGGCATTGGTGGACCGCAGCTAGATGCTGCCTTGCTGGCTATGAAGCCACACGGTCGTATTGTGTCTTGCGGAACAGTAAGTGCTATCGGCTCAGATTTTAGAACAGAGCTAACTGAACTATAGATGGTTATGTATCATACCACGCCTGAGGACTTGTACGGCGTCAAGAACCTTTGGGTGCTCACTAACAAGTACCTCAAGATGGAAGGCTTCATTGTGGACCTCGCAATTGAAAAGTATGAGGCCATGATGGAAAAGGTTGCGCCTCTGATCGCGTCTGGCCAGTTCAAGGTCCTGCAGGATATCACCGTCGGGATTGAGAATGCGCCCGAAGCTTTGGCAGGGGTTTTTACGGGCAAGAACTTTGGAAAGGCAGTTCTTCAGATTGCAGAGCCTGATGCATAGTGTGAAGCAGCATACAAACCTCTTTATTTCGTTATTGTCTTCAATGACGAGTCCATGAGAGACCGTCAACCACAGCAGCAAAAGTTACAGTCTTTAATAGAAGATCGCATTGGAATCCAATACCGCATACAAGGTCTGATTGCTTCAGTACATTAATAAAATACATGCCTAGCCCTTAGCAGTGATGGCTCAGGAATGCCGAGAGTAGAGAGACTCTGTTGCTGTGTTAGATTTGTGCAAAGCTTCAGAACGTTGTTCTAGTCAACCACAGTTTCGATGGAACAAGAACAGATCATAATAACTACTTGGAGAAAGTTTCCACTATCTTGATGCTACTAATGAATCTCACTCCTAAGGCCATCCGCCATTGACTTCAATCAGCTGCCCACTGATTGACGACGAACCGTCTCCCAGAAGGTACAGAATTACGTCCGCGATTTCCTCAGGTTCCGATAGGCTCTTGAAAGCACCTTTGTATGCTGCATTATGCGAATCGTCTCCCGACATCCCCTGTATCATTGGCGTATTTACAGCTCCTGGGGCCACAGCGTTGACCCTGAACGCTTCAGGTCCCCATTCCTGAGCAAATGTGCGAGTGAGGCCAAGCACGGCATGCTTGCTGGCAACATATCCCGAAAGTCCATGGATACCCCTGACCGACGCCATGGACCCCAAGTTGACAATACTCGCCGGTCGGTGCTCCTTGAACCCTGGAATTTTCTCTCTCGATTCTTTGACAAAGTTGTGGAATTCTGTGTTCGTGTTCCATGTTCCCATGACATTGACATCCCAAAGTAAGCGGAAGCTTTCATCAGACTTCTCAGAACCGTCTGTAGGGCGTAGGATACCAGCACAGTTGACCAAGCCTCGGAGCTCCGAGTCTAGGGGTGAGATTTTGTCGAAAACGGACTTGACACTTGCTCGTGAAGAAACATCGACTTTTGAGAACGGTACTAGCTCCCCAGGAGTGGATGAGTGGATCGGAATCTCGGATAGATCGAGAGCATAGACCTTGGCTGACAATTCAAGGAGTTTTTTGACGATTGCTTTCCCAATCCCGGATGCTCCGCCTGTAACGACGAAGGCCTGACCGGCAAGACTCATGTTCGAAGAGTGCAGAAGGTGACGGTGTAGAAAGAATAGGGCGTTCTCGACAGTGACAGCTGACTCCTGGCGCATCCGAGAGTTGGGACATGGCATTTTGTGTCACGAGGGGAGCCATGACTTATATCACTTTGACTCTTGGCATGAGGGGGTAAGTTCCAAGAAGGCAAGACTCAGATGCTCTCAAGACCGCGCATCCCACGCGTCCCGTGCGCGGGGTTCCCATCACAAACCAAATGCTTCATAATCAAAATCGGGAGCTTCACCGATGGCAGCGGCCATCTTGGTTTTAGTAGTACGAGCTCTACATCATTGTAAATCAGGTTTCATGATTGAATCGTAGAAACAAAAGACATTTCTAAAGTTTAGCATGTCTAGTTTTCAGGAGATCTGAAGCGGCAATTGCGACACCGTTGGCACGAGAAATCAGCCCCATATAACCAACCTGTCCAAGCACCGAGGTCAAGACATAAACGAGATACCACAACGGATCCCGCGGTCCCCGTCTTTGAAAGTGTTGGCATTGCCTTTGTCGTTGGATTTGGAGTAAAGCTCCTTGCAAGAATAGCCAAATGAGGGGTTCGATGCCAGAACAAGAGTATTATTAATACTGTCCCTGCTGGTGCTACACGGGATAGACGCGAGGTGCAGCGCGCGTTCCGCGGCTACAAAACCCCCAGCATCAACATCCACCACATACTTCATTCCGCATAATTCTTAAATAACTCCACGCAGAGACTCTGTTGGTATACTCTTCTGCCGCCGTCCGCTCACTGTCAAGCCTCCTCCTTCAACCTCTATAGTATCGTGATAGTTTCGGTATGAAATTCACACGCCGTCTGAGCATGATTATCCACAAACCCAAATCTCCCATTCCACTGGCCTTCCCGAATGTAATTTCCGTCGTCCAGCTTCTTCAAGACGAGGCCGCAAGTTTTCGGAAGTTCGTCTTTTGATCTCACGTACTGAGACTCTCCAACAGCAAGAAAGAACGCGTCTTTGTGTTTTGAGAGCCATGTGTCAATGGAATCACTCCCATTCCACTCGAAACTCTCATCAGGCCTTAGTTCAAAATGGTGTCCGAGAGCAGATGTACCATTTTCCCAACCAATTCTCGGTGGCAGATCCTCCTGAGTAGTCTGGCAATCGGAATATACCAATGCATCGATAGTGACTAGAGGTCCCGTTAAAGCCAGTGAGGCAGACTTCACTTGGCCAAATGGGTTATTGGGGTCGACTAGTTCCACCGACACATCCACCACCTTGGCCAAGTCCGTATTCTGCTCAGTCGGGATGAGGTCACCCCTTACGCAACAGTCCATGCTTGCCCAACTCCAAGATGGAGCCCGCCATGTTTGGGATCTTGTCATCCACTCCAACGACCACTCCAACGAAGGGGTCTGCCAGAGGAGCCCCCAAGGCATGGTGTCACGGAAGATGCCAGCGCAATAGTCGCCCTTGAACCAGGACGCACACCTTCTGGCGACAGCCGCGAACGCAACAAGCTTGTCCGCGTCAGGGAAGGTGAGCTCACGGTCTGTATACAGGTCCACAAAATCGTAGAAGTCGAAAAGGGTGCCATTCTCCGGTATGGTATACTGGGCGACAAAGGTGACGTCGAATCCTCGCCCTAGGGCATTGTCATTGCTGAAAGGGAGGTATTCCGTGATTGATCTTTTGAGACCACATTCCCATGAAATGCGATCTGAGGAAAAGTACAAGGTTCTGGGTGAAAGGAGTCTCTCCTGGAAGATCCATGCTCTTTTCGTGAGGGGAGCCTCCTCTCGTGCCCAGGCGAAATCGTCTATGGTGTATACCTCGCAGAGATTTATCCCATCTACCCTAGCAATTAGCTTGATCTAAGAGTAGGCCAAGGTTACGATTACCTATACTCTCGAATTCATTTTCATCTGCAATAAACTGGGTATCATGCCCCTGCGGTTTAAAAAAGGGCGTCCAGACACAGCAGTCTTGTAGACACCTGGGATCTCTTTTACGGAAGGCTCCCTCGTGGGCACTTGCTGAAGCATCAATGGCGATGTTGAGCTCACAGTTGAGATAGACCTTGAACATTTCTTCTGACTGCAAGAGCCAGTCAGAGCGAGAGTCTTGTATGATGCAAAGAGAGTCGATCCAGAGGTATGGGATGTCCAACCGACGGCAAGTGACGATGGCGTCTCGAAAACTAGCAGGGAGTTTTTCTATTGGAATCTCTCTTCGGAACTCGCTCTCGTTGTCGGTTTTTAGCATCAAGAAGTTGGGATTCGGTCCCCAACAGTGACTCAAAGCAGCATAACCGCCTTCAAGTTGAGCGTCTTCTCGATTAACGAGGCGTGGTTTCTTTTGAGGGGATCCAACCTCGATGAGACGCCCAGGATGCCAATTTCGACGCTGCTGTCCGCATCGCTGTTCACACTCATGATCGGCTTTGCAACTCTCCAGCCAGTGCTTGGCCAACTTGGCTACGTTCTCGTGACCCGTGCTATCCGGGATGTCTCTGAGAGGAGGGAACCGGCTTTGAACCCCACAAGGATCTGATTTCAAGTCGGCAGTGACCTGGCTAAGAAATTCTTCGTACCCTGGCGGTGCGTTGGCGTCTGCTGAGGCATTAATATAGAATTGCCACTCTTTCGACTCAGTCATATCTTTGTGTATGGTTACGGGGCGGATCAAAATCAAGTAGTGCATCTCAGTGCCAATGCTCCAACTGATGGCGTATTCCAATGGTGGTATAAAGTCGTCGGCTGGTGAGTGAATATTCAGGCACATCCTGCAGCCGTTCTTGGCAGCTGTAGCTATACTTTGTTTGTCTAGATGGTGAGGACCATTCAAGGTGCCCCTGAAGAAGATGGACATGCATATTGCACAAAGCATTGTGAAGACTTGGGTGGAGCTTGAAGCAAGCGGGAGAAACAAAGATAGAGATGAACATATAAGCTTATGCGCCTCAGCTGACAACGGATCCGGGCGGGGCTTTTAGGGGCTAAGAAGCATCCCTGTCAATCCAGGATGACGAGAGTAGGATCGAGTGTCTCCATTGGTGCCAACATTTTAGCCTGTTGTGCAACAAGATCCCCATGATCTTCACATTTGGCATGGGTACCAGGACATATCCAAGCGCGATGTATCAGTCAATCTGTTCAAATTCAAGGATATATCTCCTTGCTGCGCGAAGACTACCATCACGTACTGTTCAAGGATCTAAACCAATTAAAATTAGTAGCTCATCTGGCCCACTCTGATTATAATATGGCAATAACAGCCTTCTGCCAAATCAGTCAGAGGCTTAGATAGTGCCTTAGCAGTGGGACGAGTACTCATTAGCTTCGCGCAAGCAAGGAGATAGGCACAAAAGGAAATAGTAGAGGCCTATTGGAGATCTTCATATGGCGTTCTTTAGATCAACATCAACCATATGACATAGCATTTAATCCCCCTGTAAGAAGACTAATTGACGCTGGCTTTGGCTCAAGGTAACCCTCATACTAAGCGCACTCTTATATCTTGCTTCGATGACGATAGGCTTCTGGAAAATTGTTCGTAAACTGGGCCTACTGCATGTCCAGCCAGCGCCCCTGCATGATACCCAGCTGGCGGTCCGGAGCGGAAACTGTGATACTGTACCTTATGTTGACGTTGAAATATGTCTAATCGTTTCCGCCATTGACGTCAGGTTTCAGCTTCGGGGCAATATCGGAATTCTCTCAGTGTATGTCAACAAGCAGAGTGTGGAGTAGGAATGCTCAGATATCCATGACGGCATCATGATGTCAACCGAGTGTGTTCACTCAAGTATAATCGCTGCCCTCTCTGCTCATTTCAACTTTCACAACTTTCATCTGTGAGGGCTTTCGGGCAGTAGAATCTCTCACAAACGCAAAGTTACAGCATAACTTACGCCAGACATTGTTTGTCAATAGCCGAACTATCTCTCGTCGATCTGACTCGTTCGCACACGCCACTACCATCATGGTGCACAACGTGAGGACGTATGTTTTTCAGGCATCTCCCGTGATTTTACGTCTAGACAAAGCACTGATAATACAACAGAAATGAAGAATTCAAGGAGGCCCTTGAGACGTATGACATTGTCGTCGTCGACTTCTTCGCCACGTGGTGTGAGCCGTGCAAAGTCATTGCGCCTGTCTACGCCCAGTAAGCCAGCCTGTACCTATGCTCTATCCGTCAGTCACTGAGATTACCGCCAGTTGCCACGAGCTGGACAAGTTCAAGGATTTTCGGTTCCTCAAGATCAATGTGGATGAACTGCCTGACCTATGTGAGGAGTTGAAAGTGTCCTCCATGCCGACGTTTCAGCTGTACAAGAAGGGCGAGAAAATTGATGAGCTGCAGGGTGCTGACCGTGAAGGTTTGATTAAGCTTCTAGAGAAGGGTCTGGAATAATTGTTTGTCACTGTTCAGGCGATCTCTCTCCCAATATCAGCTTGAACATCGTTTAGTCTTGTTGATCGACAACCCTTCTTATCCGCCTAGCTAGTTAATGGTAATGAAGCTTATCACGGAGTCTAAGAGACATAACTCTTTCAATCCAGAGATGCTTGGCTCAAGCTGCTCGTCAGGGGGCCTCCACAATATACCAACTGGACGGCCTATCAGCGTCCAAGGAGGAGTTGGCTCGGATAATTGGGCCTTCTTAGTAGATGAGATACATAGGAATGGTCACAGCAAAGACGAGGCACGCCAGAACAGTGCCGGCGTAATACAGATGATATTTTTCTCCCACGTTCTTGGAAAGTGGCATCAAGGACATGGCTGGCCAGGAATTGGTGAGCGAAGCCATCCTCTCCCGTGGCGGAAGCAGAGGAGGGGCCATATGCTCATCAACTGTCTTAGAAACGATATAATGGGCTACTGGAACTCAAAGGACTTACGATGGTTTTAAGCAGTGCAAGATACAGCAGCCACTTAAAACGGCGCCCCTCTGCCTTGATAACCTGATGATTTCGAATGATACATAACACATGGAAGAGATAAGGAACAATGTAGCCGATGTTGACAGAGATGAAAGCCAAGGCCTCTTCAAGGCAAACTCCCATTGCTCAAAGACCAAGTCAAAACGTTAGCGGAAGGTAAATTTGAGGGTATCGGGGAACCCTGGGAGAAGGCTGGCTCCCTACGTCTGGGGCCAAGGGGATGAAAGAACTCTGCGGACTAACCATTGGCTCAGTTCTTCACAGTAAACAGCCAAAAAGGGATTCCTGAACATGCCCACCTTGATGCTTGCGCGCTCACCTAAGTCACCTTTGAGAACAAAGATCATGGTGGAACCAATGATGGGTCAGCGGCAGAACAAATGATGGTGGCCCTGAGGCTAGGTCGGGGACCGGTTGTCTGTTGCACAAGGGTATTCCTACCTTAAATGACAATTTCTTTTGTCGACATCTCACGTAAAAAGACGGCTATGCGTGGTTCTATACTCATGGCAGTACCAACGCTCCAATCCATGCTCAGCAGGTTTCGAACAGGGTCAGAACTGCATACAATGTCACAACGTATCTTGGGCGATGCTGTGCAAACGGAGGCCTCCAAATAGAAGAGCGACCATCGGCACAAGACGTATTCATATCACATGACTAGATCGAGGCCTGTTGCGGCATTGGTCGATGGTCTTTCTTGCAACGAGAAGGTTCCAAGGAGCCCTGGCTCCCTCTCAGCACCCAGAATCATGCCAGCTGTGTAAGGCTTGGATGACAAACTGCGGATTCGGCTCCGACGGCTTCAGTCTAGGTTTTGATCCCCACTTACTTGACTTTTCACGGAACATGAGAAAGCACCACCGATCTGATGTTCACCTTATCACTAACTATCTAGATTGCCTGGCCTTATCCCTGTTTGATCATTGGCCTTGATTGTTTCTGCAGGACTTTGAATAGAGAGGTATTACTGTTCGATCACATGCGTGTCATTCGTAGTCAACAAAAATTAGCTTTGCTTGACCAAATTTGTTGAACCTGGAAGTGAAGCCATCACGTAAGAGCACAGTTTCCAACACCACGACGTGCTATCCCAGTAAAGGGCGTGACACCTGTGCTACTTTATCTACTACTGGCGCAGCAAAGCCTAAAAAGTAGCAAGATGGTATCACGAACAAGGATAAGAGAAAAGCGCGGTCTTGCACAGTGTGGGCAGCACTTATCCTGAAACTTAACATTGACATTCGATTTCTCTCCTTGTCAGCCTGGGTCCTTCGGTTCTTTAATACGTATCTCGGTTCATTAGTCTTTCCATTAGCTTATCTAAAGCACAAGTATAGACCACGCTATCTTTGTACGTCAGAAAGGAGCCGCATTCCACACTAAGAAATCTGTGGTTTTCCCTGCATCTCTACCAGACCTCGACTCTCCGTCGAAGGTAGGCTTATCCTGCAATGATCTCTCCGAGTTTATTTCTATCCTCACCAAGCATCTCGGAAATCTTTTCTACGGCCGGATTTTCACAGAGATTTCATCAAAACCTTCTTCTTGCGCGACGCATGTTGGGTCAGCCATTAAAACTCTCATTTTTAGGAATTCGTGGCAGTGCAATACGGAGAGACAGAAGGCATTTTTCTTCATCCACCCGACTATGCAGAACATGGGTACATATCAAGTTAAGTGACGATGGGTAGGAGTGATTATCTTGAGGCATGGGAATGTTATCTGCAAACCCCAGTAGAAAAATGAGCTTTTTCATCCAGGCTGAGTTATCAAAGAGAGCTTCAGTACTTTATTCGTCCTGATTTCCTGAGCGTAGAAAGAGTAGGAACTCTACCTTGAAGTTTCAAAATTGAAATGACCACCTGGTCGATTTTCTCTCAACGGTCATGTATGCCTTTCAAACTCTCTTTGAGCCTCAGAATACTGTTCACTCCCAAGCTTGGCCATAAATTTCCAGCCATTTCCTTTGTCTTCCGACATTCTTTTCCCTTTATCTCTTCACCGGATTCATTTCTTTGTCCGGATACAGCTTCTTCGCTATTCACATCCACATACGCTCATCGCTGCTCTTTAACGGCAAAAGGATATCGAACGTCTGGCATCTACATCAAGTTTCCCTCTGTTGTTACAGTACATTCAATACGACTTTGGTCTCTACCTCGAAGCATACCTGTCAATACCTTCTCTCACCGTCTGCCGCTTCTCATCACCACCATACTCGTTGTTGCTCTCTGCCAACATAATTTTCGCCTTTCTTTCGAATTCGGGTCCTTTCTTCTTCTTCGACATGCTGCCTGCCAGCCTAGCTGCAGAACTGGAAATCACTCAAGAAGAGATGGACCTTTTTGCAGAGGACATATGTTCTGTTTGTCCTGGTTGCAAACGCGTGCAATCGACAACCGCAGCCGTCCGTAGCGCCATTGCTCACATTTCCTACATCTCGGCCGTGGAAGGACACGAGTTAGAGAATATCTGGTGGCGGATGCATCACTTGGACCAGGCCATGAACAGGGTTAAGAAACTGCTCGGCGGCGACAAGACACCACCGGAACCGGGATCCCCCAAAGATAATGTGATGGTGGTTATCAACGTGTCCTTGAATACCTTGGCCTACATTCTCTCGGCCTTGGATGCATACGGCTTCAGGTCACAGGCGGATACACAGCATCACTTCTTAGTCTTTCGTCATCAGCTTGACAACATCCTCGGCATCATTGCGGGGATTATCAAAGCTACAGCTCCTCTTCTGGAGGCTGAAGGTCCGCTCCTCAAGGCTGAGGATTGTCACGAGGGCATGGAATTGCCTAATGACCCTTCGTCGTCTCCTTAGTTATCGTAGGTAGGAGCGGGAGTGGGGGATAAGGAGCTGTCCGGGTTACTATTACATATGCTGGAATATGGCCATTCACCGTCTACCAACATATCTCAGGCGTAAGAGGGACCAGAGAATGTCCACTTTTCGTCATTATCTTGGCAGGAGTTTCACGATGAAGCATGGACGTTTAGAATGTAACGGCTCTTCTAAGAGCTAGGCTTGTAAGACGCCGACACCATGACTCCCTCACCCTTGGTCTCCAGTGAAGGGTCGTAGCAATAAGGAGAATGTTGGTTACTGTGTGGTGGGCAGATGCCTTACGGGAGATGATACACCGTGATTGGCGACAGCAATATACAACGGCGTCTGGGTGTGAGTTGAAGGTTATAGAAATTCCATCACTGGCGGTTATTTTATAAGTTTTGGCGAGTTGTTTCATTAGTTGGTGTAACGATTTCAATGGCATTGCGAAACATATGTCCTCACTTACCTATGACATAGTAATCTCCTGGTGACTTGATGTTAGAGTCATGGGAGCTCTCTATGTCCGACCAGAAGCCTCACCGTTATCATTTTTGACCTTTAACCGAAGGATTTTTGACAATTTCTTTTTCCGTCTTACCTCACCATTGGGTTCATTTCTTCCAGATGGAAAAGACTCGTGCACTAATAAAGATTTTTGATAGCCTTGGCAATGAACATCAGACAGACATCGCTGTTTCGCGTCAGAAAATTACCTCTTTAGCAACGCGTTCTTATTTCCGTTGCTTTTCCAAGCTCGGCAGTCGCGGCTGCTGACTGACACGTCGTATTGCTTCTAGTCTGCGTCGCGTGGTGACCCGGTAGTTAGCTGTTGTGTTGGTTGAGGCCTGCATTCATATGCCGCGTCACACTGGGTCCGGTTAAACCGGATCAATACACCTTGCTTATATGCTCGTCTTATGAAACAGGGACTTGTGATCGTACGGTGGAAAGGCAGAGACAAGTTGACAGCGAGGTCTTGCTATTTAAAACATCCATCCATAAGAGCCTGCAGCCAAGCCATCATGTCAAATAAGCTTAACAGACCAATGTAAACGCCATGTCTCAAAATTAGTGTCCAGTAGAGCGTCTGCATCTGTCATTGACGTGGCGACTCAGCCTCGTGATGCATGGCTGCGGCCGGCGGGGGGACCCCCATGTTTTTGGTAGCATGACAGCTGTACAACATCTTGAAACCCTGCCTATTAATAGAAGAGAATGGCAAGGATGTTGTTTACTGTTATGTTGATCGCATGTTGGTTGAGTGCCGTGTTGGCCGAACGTTGGTTTCAAGATGTTTGAGAAGGAGGCGAATATCCACCAAGCATCATGCATGGACTCTTCTCGAAAACCGGTCGCTGAGTGGCAAAGAAAAAACCGCTCATATTCACTCGAAGTTGGGGACAGCTGTAGGCAAGAGTTTGAGGGTGTAATATTCGACGGGGAGTCAAGAAGCCGTGGGTATATTATTTGATGCTTTACAATTTATACAAGTAAATGGATCTTCATGTCCATTTTGAGACCGTAAATAGTCTCCTCCCACAGTGTCTATGATATATATGCAGATGCAGTTTACGCTTACGCATTGGCGTTGGCAACGACAAAGTCAAGAATCGTGAGGTTGGGACCGCTCCAGTGCTTTCTAGCACGAGCGAACCACAGGGCAACAGCGATGGCCAGGACGGCAACCATGACGGGCCCGCAGTAGTTCATGTTCTCGGCGGTGACGGGAATCGTCGAGGGGAAGGGGAGGAAGATGATAACATAGAGGGTGTAGAGGAGGGCGAAACAGTTGACGTAGATACCGTATCCGCCGAGGTTCCACTCGCCCACCTTGATGGTGTTGCCGCTGAAGCGGACGTAGAGCATGCTGCTGATGGCGATGGCGTAGGAGATGTAGAGGGCCAGGGAGGAGAGGGAAGTAATGGCACCAAAGGCAACGTAGGAGGAGCTGCCAATGTTGAGGAGGTTGAGAGCGCAGACGAGGAAGACGGTGAAGATGATGGATCGGGTAGGCACTCGGTGGTTAGGGCTGACATAGGCAAAGTAGGCGGGCATACCACCGTCACGAGACCAAGCCCAAGTAAGTCGAGACACGGAGGCAATGTTGGCCAGGTTGACACTGAAGGAGATGACGAAGAGGCCGGTGATCATGGCAGTGGTGGCCTTCTCGGAGCCAGTGACGGCCATGATGATGGCGAGGATAGGGCTGGCCTCGTTGAGCATGTCCTCGACGGAGCCCATAGCAGAGATGAGGACGTTGACCATGACGAAGCCGAGGACACCATTCATGAAGATGGACCAGAACATGGCGCGGGGGACAGCCGACTTGGCCTTTCGGGTCTCCTCACTCATGTGGATGGCACTGTCGAAGCCTGGGGTTGTTAGATACGGCAATCATAAGTAGACGAAGGAATCTTACCAGTGAAACTCCAGACACAGGTGAGCATGCCGAGGTTCCAGGCGACGTAGGTGTTATCCCAGCCAGAAGAGATGTTTCGCGACAGCCAGAAGGACGAGGGGTTGCGGGGACCCATGACGACAAGCACAACGACGAAGATGACGAACAGGCAGACGTGGAGGACACCGGCGACAAGCTCAATCCAAGGAATCAGCTTGAAGGCGTAGATGTTCAAGAATCCGTGGACAAGGCACATGGCGATGACCAGGACGGAGGTGTGCCATCCACCGGCGACGTAGTTGGGGTGGTTGAGCGCAATCATGGACTCGAGCAGGATGATGGTGACATTGGCAATGGCGGCAAGCAGAGAGACGTAACCAAACCATGTGGCCCATCCTTGAATCCATGTCGCAAATCTCTTGACGGATGAGGGGGCGAGGTGATATGTCCAATGGTACTGCGCACCAGCAACTTTGCGGCACATTAGCATGTTAAATCCGTAAAGGGAAAAGAGTAGACGCACCAGGCTGGATCGAGGCCATCTCTCCGAGGGAAGCAGCCTGGGAGATGGCACCGAAAAAGACGATGATGAAGCTAAAGAGGAATGTCTGGGGGCCGCCATTGAAGAGAGCAAAGTACATGTTTCTGCGAGGTCAGCATCGCCATCAACACCAAAAGTCGTGAGACATACGAGCACATGCCTTCCCATAGTGCCATGTAGGTCAGGGAAAAGGCAAACAGCTGCGAAAAGGAAAAGACCTTGCGCGTTCTCGTCTGGTTGTAGACCGAGTTGTTGTCGTTCTCGGTCGTGACGCCATGATCGACCGTGACGGGAGCCTTGTTGGCCTGCCCGAGCTCGAGGCTCTCGTTTCTAGAGGCGACAGACATGATTTAGATTGTGAGGCCAGTGCAGGAACCAACAGTTCGCATGGGGGTGAAGGGAACTGGGAGGGGGAAATCAATGTGAGGGAACGAGGGAAGATGTATGGAAGATCCGGGGCACTTTATTAAAAAAGAAAGATGACGGGCAGCCAAGCAGCAAGTAAGCAGAACTGACAAGCCAAGGGGGCGTGTGAGAGATGGTCCCAGGACCGGGAATTCTACGGCTGTAGGCCTTGCAGTTGCCACAAGCGATGTGACTTCGTTTCGAGCCCACCACCAGCAGCTGAAATCGATGTTCAGGCCAGGTCTAGCTTAGCAAATCCCGGTGACTGACGGAGGAAATAACCATGCCTAGACCAAGCCCCAGTCCAGGGACGGGGGGAAAACAAAGGGCGAAAAGAAGAAGGGGGAGGGGCGCTTCGCCCCGTCGCGGAATACAACGATTGTTCTTGGGTCTTACCGGGCACAGACAACATCCTCCGATTGGCAAGGATCAGGGGGTGACTGTCCCCTCTCTGCTGCATGGGTAGCCTCAGTGTTGGACCGCATTCACTAGCTTCGAAAGGACCGGTCCGGGGGTTGGTTGAAAAAGTGGATGACAAAGTCAAGACAGAGCATGGAGGCGTTGAAACGACAATGTCGGGTTGGTCGAGTATCCTCGAGGTGCATGGCGCCCCCCCTACCTATGGAGACGACAACCATGGGCCTCGAAAGATGCACCTCGTGGAACCCTCCAGGGATTCATGCCACCTGAAATCAGGCACAGGTGGGCAGAAGCCACGCAGCAGAAGCAATATAGCACCGCACACAGCCTTTTTCGTCCAAGTGTGGGAAGAAATCATGCAACCCGAACTAGGAGGCGTCGAGGCCTTCCTCTTGACATTTCACTTTTCTTCTCTCATGTTCAGCTAGGGGGTTATTAGTTAGTGAAAGTGACAGGGCAAGCCTCAAACAAACAAGTGCAAAACTTTGACATCCTTTCTCGGTAGGCGATGGATGCGCCCGAGGTGACTCTTGACTGCCGCTGAGTGATTCGCCCCCATTCTTTTTTTCCCTTTCGCCTCCAGCCTCTCACTTTGCTCACACGGCACGCCTTGCTCATCTCTCGCCCGCTTTGCCTTGCCTGCTGATATGCATGCGGTCCCGACCTGGTCACGATTTTGCAGCCAAAGAAAAAAAAGCTCGGTCCTTTCCCATGTTAAAGGCCAACGGGTCCCCATCCCACCGTCCCGTAGATCGAAAGCTGAGCTGCTGCTAAAAAGGATCGTCGCTCTCGATCCTACGCAAGACACATCGTTCAGAGCAAAGCCTTACCCCAGGGCCTTGCTTGCTTGCCAACGATGGCGCTCGACTCGAATCAGTCTCCGCCCTTTTACCCTCTCACAAAGGACAACCATGGGGCGCTCGTCGTCGTCACAGCCGTCATCTTCTTCATCTATGCCCTCCTCGGCATCGTGGGCAAGCTCATCATCCGCCTCAACATCACGTCCATGAAGGATTTTGACCTTCTGCTCCTGGGATCTGCCGCCATTTACTTTTGCCAGACGGCTTGTGTCGTCGCCGCCTGCAACCACGGACTGGGAGAGCATCGCAAAAACGTCTCGGATGAGGATTTTGCAAGTTTCAGCAAGGTTGGTTTCTTGGTGGAGTTTTTTTGTTACTCCGCTGCTTCAGGTTGTTAACATCAGTTGAAACAGTTGATCTATGCCGCCCGAATACTCGCATTGCTCGTCGATGCTACGACAAAGATATCGTTATGCCTTCTCATTAGGCAGATCAGCAACATCGGAGGGTTGAACCTCGCCAACCTGATATTAGCCGGAGTTGTAGTCGCGTACACTGTGGCAGGCATCTTTGCGACAGCCTTTCAATGTCCCCTTCCTGAACCATGGGAGTCGCAAAGCAACGACCAGTGTCCTGGCCAAGGACCAATCTTCATCTTCAACGGCATCATGAACATATTGACCGATCTTGCGCTGTGCGCTCTTCCCGTGGCCATGATGTGGGACGTCCAGACTTCGCTTAGGCGTAAGCTTATCGTCATGGCTCTCTTCGGCAGCCGTCTCATGTTTGTCTCCCCACGGCATTGTATCGGTCGATTCATTGCTAACGATGCTACAGTGTCCCCATTGTTACGATCCCCGCTATGTCGCAGGCGAGCTACCTCTTTGGCGACTCCGACGATGCGACATGGAAGGCTGTTTCTACCATGATCTGGACGCAAATATCTCTCGGTCTCTCGGTGCTTACAGTCTGCATCCCCAGTCTCAAAGGTGTCATCGACAGTTTGTTAGGCCACACAGCTGTCGCCGCTATCGGAGCCCCATACGAACTCAAGGACAGCGGCAACGGTACAGGTCTTGAGATGACCGCCATGGGAGATTCAGGCGGCTCAAGGGGTAACACGAACAAGTCCACCACCAGACAGGGTAGCCACGCCTTGAGCAGCGCCTTGAGAATGGGGTCAAGAGCAAGGACCAACGAGCAACCGACATGGCGGAGAGACGTGACAGCGCAGATCGAAGCAAAAGCAGAGACTGGCAGCGAAAGCGTGCGCAAGCTGACAGAGGGTGTATTGGTGCACACAGATTTCGAGATGCAGTACGACGATAGAGGAACATCAGAGGCCTCGCGGGCGGATTCAAGAGGGTCGTACGAAGCTAGATACAACATGTAGACATAATCACGAGCATTCACATTCATGCGTCTTCCCAACCGTCGTCCCGAGGATCTGGGAATGTGGCAGGCGGCAATGGCTTCAACGTTTGCTAGAGCCAACACATCTTGAAGCCACCCACACACGTCGGCAGCCATGGCGCTGCAATGACAGCGGCACAGCACAATAGGGTTTTCGCTTAAGACAAAAAGTAACCCCACGCTCTGGAACAATGACCCCCCTGTCTGCCTTGTCCGTCATTGCTTCTGGCTATTATCTAGCTTGGAACCGGGCGGCCTCTATTGCTATCCGGCCCGTCAGACTTGAGGCAAAGAGGCAAGGTGAAGCGGGCTTCAATCGCAGCTTTTTTTTTTCATTCTCGTTCTCGCGTCCTCTCAAGCTCAGACCATTCAGGGGCACTAGCAAGCCATGGCACGCCATCGTCTTGAATCGCGGCCGAACTAAGATGGATGTTACCCACTTGGTGTGCAACGGAAGAGGGAGGGGGTCTCAGGCTGGACGGGCCGTACCCTGGGCGATCCCCTTGGAATCGAGCCACTTGGGAGCGGGAGGGAGGGTGTGAGTGGAGGATCGTCGCGGCACTCGCGGAGACATTGTCAAAGCCGAGTCGTCGGTCGTGATGGGTAGAGTGAGAAAAGAAGACCCCTGTCCCTGAACCCCCTCCGCGTTATTTCTTCTGGCTGGTGTTTTTTTCCTTTTTTTTTTTATTCCCCTCTTTGCTCACCATCCTTATCTTAGCAAATCCTGCGAGAATGGTACGAGTTCTAGAACCCCTCAACCCTGACGGGCCAACCAGAATGCGCGCAGCAGTCTTCTTTGCGGAGTCGGGCTCTTCGCCTGCAGGTATGCACTCTCGGCGAACTGACAGATCCCTGGTCGATTCTCGGGACCGGACCCAGGCGAGGGCATCTCTTTGGTGATGGTTCGTGTGGGAGCCTCCCAGAATCAGTCGTTTGTTGATGTTATTGCTGTTGGTTCAGGGTTGGTTGGCTCAACTCTACCGGAATCATTCCATGTTGGTCGTTGCTTTTGCCCTTCGTTTGCGTTTCCCTTCAGGGTCAAGCCTGTCTCGAGGTCATATCTGTAGGCACATTCTCTCCTCTCGTCCATGCTCGTCACGCAGCAGCAACCAGTATGCATCGTGCATCTTTCCACCATGGACGACGTCGACGACGACAGCACTCATTGTGAGGCAAGCCCCTTGCTGCCCTCAAACGACAACGACGCCTCGAGATGGCCCATCCGCAGCCGGTGGACCGAGCTGTCGCTTATCTCGCGATACTCGCTGCCCCTCGTGGCAACATACCTGCTCCAATATTCCTTCAGCGTCATCACCACGTCCGCGGCGGGTCATCTGGGTCAGGATGATCTTGCCGCTGCAGCAATCGGCGTCACCACCATGAACATCTGTGGTCTGGCATTCTTTGAGGGCATGGCCACAGCTCTGGATACTCTGTGTGCTCAGGCATACGGCGCTGGGAACAAGTTGGGTGTTGGGCTTCACGTCCAGCGGATGCTCCTTCTCATGGCCCTCGCCACCATCCCAGTGGGCGCCCTCTGGCTGAGTTCTCCGGCGCTCCTGTCACTCGTTCTGAAGCAGGAGAATCTGGCAGTAAAAGCGGGCTCGTTCCTGCGCGTCAGCTTGATCGGCCTGCCGGGCTACGCGTCCTTCGAGGCAGGCAAGCGGTTCTTGCAGTCCCAGGGGGACTTTGATACCGGAATGCTCATCCTCGTCGTTTGTGCGCCCGTCAACGCTCTCCTGGCCTGGCTCTTTGCGTTCCATCTCGGCATGGGCCTAGAGGGCGCCGCTCTCGGTGCCGCCCTGGCCAACGACCTCCGTCCGGTGCTTCTGCTCCTGTGCATCGCCTTCAAGAGGTCCTCTCACCAGTGTTGGCCCGGGCTCTCGTGTCGCGCGTTTCGCGGCTGGGGCCCCATGGTTCGACTGTCGGCCGCTGGATCAGCAGTGACCCTTGCAGAGTGGGCAGCGTTCGAGGTTCTAACGTTTAGCACGTCCTACCTGAGCACCATGCACCTCGGTGCACAGACGATCTTGACTACCACGTCGGTTGTAATGTGGCATATTCCTTTTTCCTTTAGCGTCGGTGTCAGTACCAGAATCGGCCATCTCATTGGAGCAGGCCTAGTGTCTGCTGCTAGGAGAGTGGCCGTCTTATACTCGATGCTTTTTGTGGGAATTGGACTCTTGGATGCCATTGTACTCTTCGCACTGAGGAACTACATACCCTACGTCTACTCGGCAGACCCCGAAATCCGCGACCTGGTCTCAAGAACCATGCTCTCGGTCGCCTGCTTCCAGGTGTTTGACGCC